GTCTTTAGCATAAATATTTGCTGCAGGAATCCTGTGTTCCCTTTTCCTTTCCCTGAGAATAGGTCTCAGTGTCCTATATTTTTAGAGGTATAACCTGTACACTGCTGTGAAGTTACCAAATCTGGTTGCCTGAGAGAGACCAAATCTGGTCACTCATGCCTCCACGTTCAGCCAGCAGTGACGCTGAGCGTATATTCTCAACAGGCCAATAAACACACACACCTATACAATATGTATGTGCACATACATACAGCCATATATAACAATGCAGACAGAAACACTCAGCACTCACAAAAAGGCTGGCAGCAGCAGTGGCCTCATTTTGTTCCCTCCTCTTGTTGAATGTGAGTATAACAGTCAATCAGAGAGAAATACATACGTTTTTACATGTACACACTTGGGCTCTTATAGTAATTGGGCTTAAATACTCAGTGTACCCAGCAGCTGGCCCCGGGATGCCCAGTCTCCCCAGCTGGTGGCACTTGGACATGGGGGTCCCCAAGGCCCCAAGTCCAGTTCCAATTGGAGGCAGGGACCCCCTCACTCATGGGCATACACCCATGTACACGTGCCCTGCGGATCCCTCAGTAACTCGTCTCAGGCACCCCAGCTGCTTCTGGATTCCTGGCCCRTCAGGTGCTGGCATCTCAGCATACAAGCCCTTGAGATCCGTAGCCCCCCTCTAGCTGCTGGCACAGATCCCCTCATGCACACACAGGCTGCAGGTCACCTACAGAGCCAGCAGTGCCCTTGTGGCCAAGAAGGTCAATGGGCTCCTGGCTGCACCAGGAGAATGTTGCCAGCAGCAACTCTGCTCAGCTCTGGGGGGGCCAAACCTGGAGCACTGGGGGCAGGTCTGGGCTCCGCAGTGCAAGAGGGACGTGGAGCTTCTAAAGAGGGTCCAACAGAGACCAACAATGATTAAGGATCTCGAACATCTCTCCTACGAGGAGAGACTGAGTGAGTTGGGCCTGTTTTCTCTGGAGAAGAGAAGGCTGAGAGGGGATCTGATTAACATGTATAAATACCTGAAGGGGGAATGTAGGGAGGAAGGGGTCAAGCTCTTCWCAGTGGTGACCAGTGACTGGATAAGGGCCAATGGGTACAAGTTGAAACACAGGAAGTTCCATCTGCATGTGAGGAAGAACTTCTTTGAGAGTGACAGAGACCTGGAACAGACTGTCCAGGGAGGTTGTGGAGTCTCCTTCTGTGGAGGTCTTCAAAAACTGCCTGGATGCCACCCTGTGCCACATGCTGTAGGTGTGCCTGCTGGAGAAGAGGGTTGGACTAGATGATCTCTAAAGGTCTCTTCCAATCTTAATGATTCTGTGATTCTGTAAAACTGGGCTTAGACACACACACACAGTCCAGAAGTTGGCCCTGGACCGCCACTCTCCCCAGTTGCCTCCTACAGAGAGAGACACCCCAACACAAACAGATCCCTCCATCGATCTACAGACTTTACAATCTCTCTGGCAGCTGCTCTGGTGCCCAAAAGTCCCACCAGTGAGGAAGAACAGAAAAGTACAGCCAAAAGCCTGTGCCTAAATATACTTAACAATCTTAGCTACACACACAAGACAGATCTGTGTGACCATTGCTGCACACACAGGAGAACTTTCTGATGATTCTGTATCTCTGCACACTTTGATCAGTTCCTTCCTTCTGAGCCAGAACTTGCTGACAGAGGCATAGGACCACCTGTGTTTTCTGCGGTGGGATTTGSTCATTTCATCCCCTCATACGGATCATCTTTATGCCCAGCAAGAGCTGCTTTGGGGACCCGACGCCTGTTGGTGAGAGAGGGCAAGCACCTGGAGTTTCTTTGCCCACTATTTCTGTATCAGCACAAACATTTTCCCATTCCTTGGGGGTTGCTGCTGAGAATAACTGCTGCTTCACGTTGTGGCTGCTCTCCCACCGGCCAGATGCCAGCACTGCGAGGAGGAGGCAAATGCCCTCTCCAGAAACCACCCGCAAAGGAGCAGGCACGGATTCCACTGCCACTTAAGAGCCCCGCAGGAGGAAAGTGYCTGTGTTTGCCAGTTCTCTCCAGTCCCTGAAGCCCTCGTACCCTGCCCAAAGGGAAGTTTTAAGGTATTCAAGGGTACCTTCAAGTTTTACTTCCCTCACCTCAGTGAGTCGTGTGGGGGATATAAATCAAGAGGAGCGTTTTCATCCCTGCACAACCTGCTCAGACTGTTYTTCCCGGAGGGTGAAGTTGTGCCCGGTGCAGGTGTGGGCCACTGGGAGCTTGTGCAGCGCAGCACGTGCTACCCTTGCGGCACRCAAAGGGACGGGCCGAAAGGGCCGCCACAGGAATCCAGGGCTTGCCAAAAAACACACCTAAGGGCACAGGGTGTCCCAGGCCAGCAAGGAGGCTGTAGCAGGCTGAAAGACACAGCAGGGCACCCACGGCCATGGCAGGAACCCTGCAGACAACGTGCAGCAAGGAGAGACACAAAGGCGGGCAAACCAATCCCTTGCTGGCTCAGGAAGAGGGGTCTCTAGCCAAGGCGGTATGAGGTGTCTGGGCAGCCGCCCCGCCCTGCAGAGCAGCCCCAGCCCGACCCGCACGGGCAGCGTGGCCGGAGCTCCGTCCGCGCAGCCACCCGGTGCGCCGGACACCAGGGCCCGCCGGGGGCCTCCCGGCCGCCCCTCGCGGCCCCTGCCGCTCTGCGCAGGCGCCGAAGGTGCCCGCCCGCCGCTACCGCTCTGCGCAGGCGCCGAAGGTGCCCGCCCGCCGCTACCGCTCTGCGCAGGCGCCGAAGGTGTCCGCCCGCCGCT